ATGAACAGAAAACTTGAGTAATTGTACACACCCACACACGGATAGTTCTTTATGTGATTTATGACTTGATTATATCATTGCTCTGTACTTGTTAAATTGATGAAACTGTACAAGCTATAGCAGGTATCATTTATAATTCTTGCTTCTCTTACCTCGCCGAGGTTAGTTACGATACTTATCGAGTACATTGGATCGGTTGTACTCATACTACACTCTACACTTAATTGTGTAGATCCTGTGCTAGGACCAGTTACCACTAGCGGAGTTGCTTGTTGAGCCAAGTACCGAGAGACGAGGTAGAGCTGCATTCTCGTCCGCAGTCTTGGCATTTCCTTTCTTATGTACTATTGCCTTTATTTCAGATAGTATGGCAGTTGGTTATTTTAGACTTGTATTCCCGTATTAGAGCTCATGACTCAGTATTTACCAGTTTCTGGGGGATTTATCGTGTATTAGCAGTATTTTATTATATTGAGATTTCAAACATATGTTACTTCTATAAATTACGTTATTATGGTTCTTTATTATTAAGTTTCGGCTTGCCTAGTTGGTGTGTTAGGCGCCATCACGACGGGTGGGGTTTTTGGGTCGTGACAATTTTAAATTTTCAACTTCTAAACTTACGTCGAACACGTCTAAACAATGTGGAATTACCTCAAATTTTGCACACAAGTTCCAAATAACATTGAGAACATATTCCATCTACCGTAACCACAATCCGAACCCGATAACCTCAAAGTCAACTCCCGATCAGAACTATGATCTTTAAAAACCTTCAAATTGTCAACTTTTGCCAATTAGAGCCAAAACCTTCTAAAAATATTCAAATACAAAATCGGGCATATGCCTAAGTATAAATTCACCATCCAGACGTAACGAAACCATCAAAACTCCAATCTGAGGTCGAATATACAAAATTCAAACTTTGGTAAACTCTTTCGACTTAAAGCTTCTAAACTGAGAATCATTCTTCCAAATCAATCCTAAAACACACGAAATCCAAAACCGACCGTATACGCAAGTTATAATACCTCAAACTACTGAACGAAATGCTAAAGTTCGAAATGATCTGTCGGATCGTTACAAAATTGTAAAGAAAATTTTACCATAAAATGAAGAACAAAAGAAAAAGGAGGTTATACAAGAATCAATTTAAGATGAGTTCAATAAGAAAGAGGTAGAAAAAAGAGCAAATATATCCAATAATGAGGCAACCTCCTGATCTGTTGAGAAAAACTCAAATGAGGTAGAAGCACTAAGTTTAGTATCTATCATGATATTTGAAAGACCTCTCACACTGTTATATATTTGAAACCTCTTGAGAGATGTTTAACTAATTAATTTAATTTTTTAACTTAATTATCCTGGTGACCTTTTAATTGACATTTCTAAATAATGTACTGAATATGAGAATCATGATGACAATCCCAAGGTTGAACGCGTAAAGACTTGAGCAGACCTTTTCTCAACTCAACTTGAGAATATTCCTAGATGAAAATGAGAGATTTTCTAAGAAGATCTCAATGAGATCCTTTTTAGGAAAAGCTCTGGGTGAGTTCAAAAAACTATTAAAAATATTATCCTTAAAATGAGGTTTATGAATACTTCACTGGTACTTTTTAGATTTACATGTATCCCATCGGCTCAGTATTCTCATAATACCCCTGATCTTGTGGGTTTTGAAATACATGCCTTAAGAAAAGCTAAACGATGATTGTATACCTTAAAGGCTAATTAATCTCCCACGAGAAGGTAATTGTAATAGTTGTGGAGCAGGTTTTTTTACTGTTCATTGAGAACCTCATCACCATTATTCTGATGGACAAGATGAATGAACATAATTAACTGTTCAAGGCAAAAATTGCTATAGACATCCTTCATAAGAACATCATGAGACCACGATTATATTTTTACTCCAACTTCAAAGGAGCATCTTTGCATGAATCAATAATAATTCCTAAGTCAACTGACCTTCGATTTCGGATATTAGAGCAGAAAAACTCTGTAATGGCAGAGAGGGGTTTCGCCTCAGATCTATTTTCTATTGTTATGACAAAGATTTTTCTACCGATCCAGTGTCAGATAATTGGGAATTCGCTTTCAGCTCTTAATCTCCGTCGGTAGACTTGGAAAAAGGCAAGGCTCGAGAGACGTAGCGCTAAAGCAGTTGTAGCGAATTCTTGGAAAAAACGGGAGCGAGCCTTTATAAAATAAAAAATAAAATAAAGAAAATTTCATGAATAGATAGAGTCAACGGTACGACAGACAGTGCTGCATACACACGAATTAGCTTCCGAGGTTGAGTAGTGGATTTACAAGTTGTACTTTTCCCGTTAGTCCATAAGGGTCGGACACCATACATGCATGTTATATGAAATGCACCAAAATCAAAGCAAGCCACCCCTAAGAAAAATAAATAAATTCCAAAGATCTTTGGCAAATCCAAAGAGAATTTTTCCAGAAAATCCAACCTATACAAAGAGCTTTTTTTAGCTTCTACTCCTTACAAGTGAAAGTCGCTGGCACCCACCATATCTTGCTTCGGGGTCGATCTCTTGAATCAGAGCAAACAAATTCAATGTATCCAATTTCGCCATTTATCACAAAATACTATTCGATCCAAAAAGATATTTTTTCCATATCCTAACTTTCTTTTGACCCCCCTCTCTCCTATTTTGTCTTTAAGTTAAAATCCCTCATCACTTAAAGCCACCTCATAAGGCAAGGAGATCTTCTCCACAATAATTAGTCCTTTAACATAAGCGCCCCAATAAGAGTTAGAATGACAGTTCCCGCCCCTTGTGCGGCACCAAATAAATGGGGGTTGAGCATAAAGATCCCATGACCCGTAAATGATTAACACTAACCATAAAATTGTCATTCTTACCCCATTATTAAAACTTTTGTCCTGTAAAATACATTTCAAGTCAATAGTCTCTCATAATTAGATCCCTCAAGACAGTGTTCCAAATCCTTTTCGAACCCTTTAAGACTAAAATCATTCATGTCCGTAAGAAATAAAACATCAAATGAACCCACATGAAGTTACAAATTAAGGAACAAAGTGCTAGAATTAAAAAACGAACAATTGGAATGATACAATTTTAGATTAAGAAGTGATTTTTTAAAAAAAGAAAATAAAGTTCCTATTCTAAATAATAGACAAGGCGCAGAATATGAATAAAATTGAATAGAGTGTCAAGTCACACTTTCTTTTTAATGAACGATAGGGGTTATAGATGCGAAAAAATAGATAGGGGATATAGATAATATTTTAAAATTTTCTTCCAAAAATTGAACTCTTTTTCTAAAATAAAAAAGCTAGTGTAAATAATCTTTAGTTTTTAATTTGTTCCTGAAATTATTTCTGTTTAAATAACTAATATTTTTATAAAGAGTTTAAGTTATTTATACTGTCAATATAATTTTTTTACCTGAAAGCAATTTAATATATTGTAATACATAATTATTATTTTTATCAAGGTATTAATTATTAATATTACTTATAATAAATATTTACTTAGAGTTTAAGTTATATAAGCTGTTAATATAAATAATTTTTTATACTATTACTGTATTTTCACCTATAAAAAAAAATTGCTTTAACATTACCGCTTACCACAATTCTTTTACTCCGTCGATGCAATGTGATCTATTCTATTCAGATTGCCAGTGCATAGCTCTTTGGGCCCGCGATTTATTCCCTGGGAACGGAAACAACTACACAAGGAGGCGCGTGTTAAAGAAAGCGCGTGGCTTGTGAGAGTACTTCCCACCCCGAAGAGAAAAAGAGTTACAGGCCAAGCCCTTCCACACATGCACTGCTTACGTTTCCTACACACACACAACACACATTCTCTCTTTCTCTCTCACACAAACACACATTCTCTCTCTGAACTAAAAATTACTAGTATATGATTGGGTTATACCCACTTCACACTGTCCATCCACTCAGAACGAGGAAACCCAGTTTTCTTGGAATATTGCATTTATAATACAATCTCAATTTTTGCTGAAGTACGTTCTTTTCATCTTCATTCTACTTCTTTCAATTACTGTTGTCTCTCTCAATATATTTGATTTTTTTTCATATTACTTGACATTTGAGTATGAGAATTGCTATTCATTATTTTCAAGTAGTTTCGGAGTATTTACATTTTAATCTAACAAATTAAAGTACTCAAATCACTCTGATTCTAAAAAAAGTTTGTTCTCAATTATGCTTCTCTGTAATCTCGATCGATAGCTTTATACCAATGGTCTCATTTTCTCCTTGGAATTTTACTGAATTTTCTAGTTTTATCAATTGCAATTATGTTTTTCTTTTCAATTCTTTCAGAATCTTTTTGGATAGGTTGAATTTTGGTATATTTATTACAGTGTTTTTCTCTATTTTTCAGATTAATTTTACTGCTCCTGCAATTTTTTTAATCTCAAGGGGCTGTCAGCTACGCTTTGACAAGGTGCTGCCAATTTTCGCGGAATTCAGGATAAGGGGTTTCTGAAAATTTTGTTTGGTTAAAGTTAAAAAGTTACTGCAGAGGTGGATCCGGGATGTCGCTGAACCCACAGACCATTTGAGTTACTGGTTCGAAATTTAATATTTAGTAGTTCTTAAACACGTATACAGGGTCTGAGCCAAAGCAACTTAGTTCAGCCGAAACCATAGCTTCTACAGTTCATTGGCCCCTGAGCTGGTGATGAATCATTTGATAGTTTTGAGGTGTGGGGTTGACTCAGTTTGGTATTTGTAATTATGGGTTGTGTTTATTCAAGAGCTTCTTGCATTGGGGAGATTTGTGCACCAAGGAATGTGGAAGTTAAAGAACCTGAAAATTTGAAAGCAGCTGCTGGAATTGCTGTGTTTTCACCTGCTTCTTCATCAGATGGGGAAGAGGGAGAAATTAGAGATCAACTAAATCAATTAAGTCTATCTAGGGACAATGAAATTGGTATAACTAGACTGTCAAGAGTATCTGCACAATTTTTACCANCTAAATCAATTAAGTCTATCTAGGGACAATGATATTGGTATCACTAGACTGTCAAGAGTCTCTGCACAATTTTTACCGCCCGATGGTTCCCGGGTTGTAAAAGTTCCGTCAGGGAATTATGAACTACGATGTTCATTTTTATCTCAAAGAGGGTACTATCCCGATGCCCTTGATAAAGCTAATCAAGACAGTTTTTGCATTCACACTCCGTTTGGAACAAGCCCAAATGATCATTTCTTTGGTGTTTTTGATGGCCATGGAGAGTTTGGAGCTCAATGCTCGCAGTTTGTGAAAAAGAAACTTTGTGAGAATTTGCTTAGAAACAGTAAATTTCATTCAGATGCTGTCGAAGCATGTCATGCGGCATTCTTGATGACCAATACGCAGTTGCACGCTGATGCTATAGATGATAACATGAGCGGAACAACTGCAATAACTATACTCGTACGAGGTAGGACACTTTACATTGCTAATTCGGGTGATTCAAGAGCTGTTATAGCTGAAAGACAGGGTAACGAAATTGTGGCTGTTGACTTATCAATCGACCAAACACCATTTAGGCCTGATGAGTCTGAGCGGGTTAAGCTCTGTGGAGCAAGAGTTCTTACACTGGATCAGATTGAAGGATTGAAGAATCCTGATGTGCAATGTTGGGACACTGAAGAAGGTGATGAAGGTGATCCTCCAAGGTTGTGGGTGCCAAATGGGATGTATCCTGGTACGGCTTTTACAAGAAGTATAGGTGATTCTGTGGCTGAGACAATTGGTGTTGTTCCAAATCCTGAAATTGTTGTTTTGGAGCTCACCTCAAATCATCCTTTCTTTGTGATTGCCAGTGATGGGGTATTTGAGTTTCTTTC